CTACTACTACTACTATCATTACAACAACAACTACTACTACTACTACTACTACTACTTCTATTATAGTATAGTCTACTATACTATAATAAGCTACATTATACTATATTATATTAAATTATGCTATAATATACTATAATATACTGTTAGACTACGACTGCTACTACTACTTCTTCTTCTACTACTACTACGACTACTTTTATTATTACTGCTACTACTACTACTACTACTGCTACTACTACTACTACTACTACTACGACTACTACTACTACTACTACTACTACTACTACTACCGTCACTACGATTACTACTTTTACTACTTCGATTACTTACTACGATCAATACTACGACGACTACTACAACGACTACTCCCATTACTGCCTGAGTGCATCTGAATGGAGGAGGAGGGGGAGAAGGAGTTGGCGGCGCAGGAGGAGGCGGGAAATGAGGAGGAAGAGGAGGATGAGGAGGAGGAGGAGGAGAAAGGGAAAGGAGGGGCATGTTCTAGTTCACGTCGTGGCGACGAGAGGGGAAAGGACGAGGAGAACCCACCGAGAGAAAGAGAGAGAGAGTGGTCGAGAGCGCTTCCGTGCAGCTCATCTGCCGCGCGGGCCCTCCCTCTGAAGGCACTGCTGGTGTTGCCGAAGGGCACAGCGGGCGGGACGGCGGTGGAGCTGCAGGTTTGGTTGTCGGACAGGATGAAGACGGGCATCGACTCCATGGACGGGCTGAGGCCCGCGCCCGTTCGGCTCCCCACAGGGAGCAGCGGGCTTCGGCAGCAACGCATGGGAGTTTTGTGCGTCCTCGCCGTTCCATCTCTGGCGTGCGCTAGCGTCTGGTAATCCGATCGCCGATGCAGCGTCGATCAGCGTCGATCTTGCGTCGATTCGCAAGAGCCAGGCAGATGGCATGGGAGGCTTCCATGGATTGCCACCGAAGCGTGCCCCGAGGGAGCGGCCAGGCAGACCCCCCCACCCAGGTCCGGGCAGAGAGGCCCGAGGAGCAGGCCGATCCTCAGCAGGAATCTACACGCACGGGGCGCGCCAGGAAAGGGCTTCGCCCTCGAGGATCGGAGGAGTTGGCAGCGGATCCCTGTCGGAAGGCGGCGGCGGCAGAACGGCGGCGGGTCCGCCAGCAGACGCTGGCGGAGGGGCGGCGGAAGCCGGCGGAAGGTAGAAGTTGCCCCCTACGAGTGGACCGCGGAAGGTAAAAGTTGTTCCCTACAAGTGGGCCGCATGTGGCCGCACGCTTTTGCAGCGCTCGGCCTCGTGCGGCCGTGCACGGCGGGCTCCCGCAGCGCCGCGGCCTCCCCGTGCAAGGTCAGGCCGCACCACAAGCACGGGCAGCCCTCCCACGGGTACGCTTGCAGCCTTCCCTCCTCGGCCCATCCTCGGCCACCTTCACTGGCCGCGCCCCGCTCGAAGAGCCTCGAGATGTGCGCCCAAGGCCCCTGCATCCTCCCCTCTTCGGCCCATCCTCGGCCACTTCCGCTGGCCGCGCCCCGCCCGAAGAGCTTCGAGATGGGCGCCCAAGGCCCCTGCACCCTTATCACGCATCCTAATGACACCGGCCGCCTGCACAAGTTGACAACATTGGTTGGGTCGGGGTCTCTGCAGCGCCCGGCCTCGTACGGCCGTGCACGGCGGGCTTCCGCAGGCACTCGTGGCCCAACTGTCCACCACCTTTGCCATAGGAAGGAGAGGGAGGAGGAGGAGGAGGAGGAGGAGGAGGAGGAGGAAAAGGAGAAGGAAAGGGAGGAGGAGGAAGAAGAAGAGGAGGAGGAGGAGGAGGAGGAGGAGGAGAAGGGAGGAGGAGGAGGAGAAGGAGGAGGAGGAGGAGGAGGAGGAGGAGGAGGAGGAGGAGGAGGGAGGAGGGAGGAGGAGGAGTAATAATAATACGCGGCGTGGAGGCGCGCAGTGTGCGATGATCTCGTTAGCCAGCGTGCGGAGCAAGGCCACTGTCGGCCTTCGTGCAAGTAAAACGTGTGCGCACAGCGCGTTCCAATATACGGAGTGCAACCTGCTAGAATACATCACATTCTGTCACTGCTGCCAGCCGAAGCTGGGTTCACATCCAGGAGCGGCGAACGGGGGCCAGGCAGGCCCCACCAAGCTCATTACGAACTCTGGGGACAGCCGCACCGACGTGTGGGGGCGGCCAAACCTGCGACTACTCACAACCGTACGCTGTGAGCTCAAGTGTGCACACGCGGGTGAGGGGAACAAGAGCGAGGCAGGGGCGGCGGGGGACGGGGGCAGGCAAGAGGAAGACAGCGGCAGCAAGCAGCAGCCTCAAGCCTGGTACTCAATGGACGGGTGGCCGAAACATTCATTGACGCCAGTGAAATACAGGGCTCCGAAGCAGCACCAGACGTACACAGTGCCCAGCTCCATCCAGTCGCCATACACTCGAAGGATCATGCTGGACAGGGTGTACACAACATCGTAGTACATCACACAAAGACAGAGCACGCCAACCCGTAAGTCAGCAACTGTCATTCACCCACTGCCAAGACTGAATTCATAGTACCCAAACAAGTACACCAAACGTGTGTCGGTGGGCGGCACACCTAGGACTCAGGAAGAACGTTTTGAAGCATCTCCTCCATGGCTCCTGGTGGAGCAGCCCCGATCGCACGCTTGGCCCCGACCTCTGCCAGAATTTTGGTGAACACTGCCCTCAAATGCGTGCTGGAAGGAATCGAGGGCTCTCCTGATTCGACTGCGAACTGGGACCGATCCGTTTCCATCAGCGGTATATGCACCGTCTTCTTGGCCTGGTCGTAACACTTGGTGATCCGAAAGAGCCTGACCACGGTCCGAATCTCCTCGATGGGCTCGGTGCAAAGATACTTCTCGTGCCAATTCTTGAGCGTCGCGAAGCTGGTCGCGCCGAGCGCTGCCGAACGCTCTAAGAGCTTGGAGACGAGCCCGCCGAAGATGTGAAGGTGAGGGGGGGGGCCTGTGTGGGTGGCCTTTGCCCGCCTTCTTGACGGTCTCGCTGTAGGCCTTGCCCGCGGCCTGAGCTTCAAGCACCTCTGGTAGAGTCGCGTCCTCGAGCCACGTGTCGATGCCCAGTGACCAGAGGTCGCGCATCGCCTGGCTGCGCACCAGGGTCGATGTGACCATCACGCTGATGATGGCGTTCTGCTCGTGATTCCAATCCGATTCTGCCAGCGTGCCCAGAGACTTGTTGCGATCCTTGCGCTGCTTCTTGGGGCGCTCGGCCTGAGCTGCGCCTGAGGCCCTGGCAGGAGGTGACCCTTTGGCGGTTTGCAATGGCGGGGCGCGGGCTGCAGCCGAGGCTGCTGACCCTTCGGGAGCGGCGCGCTTGATCGCCCACGCTGGTTGCATCAGAGCATGTGCGTGGCGCTGGGAGTGGAGGGAAATGTTCGTCTCGAATGTGTGTTTTGTAGCTGAGCCAAATTGGTACAGGTATCATGCAGACATATAGGACACACAACCCTCCTCCTCCTCCTCCTCCTCCTCCTCCTCCTCCTCCTCCTCCTCCTCCTCGGGAAGCACACCTAGATCAATAATCGGGCCCACACGACCAAGTTCCCAAAGCTTGCGAATCGCACTAACGTCCGCGTTCAAAAACGTGTGGTGGGCACCATCATCTTCGAATGGGGTAATCACCGACTGCCCCCATCTATCCTCCCAAGCCTCCGTGTCCGTGAGAGCCCGAAGACAATTCACATCACTAATGAATCTAGCAGCATACGGTCTGGCTTCGTTAGTAATAACACCATTGTTCAGCGTATCAGAATCCTCAAATGCAAACCGCCCAAATAACACAGCAATAGCTTGATCATGGTCCTCAGGCCATCTAACCATATGTTGGTACCAACGTAATCTCTGAATCAGTAGCTCATGCCGACACGGGATTAGATCTAACCACAACCACGTACGTCGAGACGACCACGATCTAGGATGAGGGCCCGTCCAATCACACGCATCCCCTTGAGCGATCGACCGAATCCTCCGAAGGAGGGCAGTGTCGAGCTCGGCCTCCTGGGACGGCGAGAGCAGGAAGGCGGTGAGGCCCGAGAGGAGAGCGCCCTGGCCGACACTGATGAACAGCAATCTTTTGACTTTCCAGGGGGCCCTGCTGTACCAGAACTCTCTCTAGGCACACCACCCGCGCGCACAAGCATTTGTTGAGGCCAGGAGCTGTGGACCAAACGTCCCAGCAGGCACCACGTACGGTCCAAGGTAGCGACCATAGGGAAGTACACGAGCACCTCCTTCCCAGAATCATAAAACCGTCGGTTGTTGTGGTACCCATTCAGGTTGGGCGCCAGCACTTGCTTGCCCAAATCCTGCGTGTAATTATACTGCGCAATCGCAGCGGCACTGGTAGCTTGCTCCAGTTGCACGGCTTCGATTGCTTCAGCAAGCAGAGTTGAGGAAAGAACCAACAAACTAGTGGAGGTCGTCACCGTATTTGTTGAGGGACGCATCGATCGTCATGGATCCCAGTGGACACGACACTTGAAGCATGGGTTGCGGCGATCGGTGTCGCCCCACATTAACAGGCTCAGCAAAATCCATCCGAAATTCATCAGGAGCAGAAGTCTCTCCCATCAGCGTACCACTGGTGAGGAGCACATGGATGTCCCCGTCAACAGCTTCGATTTGCAAAACATGTGCACGCGGACGATCCTTCAATAACAAAGCATCAGCATACGGCATATATTCTCGTAGTACCCCATTCATGCGGCGATCATGATTGCAACAGCCATCGGCATTCGTCATGTTGTCCATCACTGCCACGAACGGGATCTTCTGGTTGCGTAGTCGCCACGATGTGCATTGAACACAGGGGATAGCATTTTCTCGGCGCCGATGCGGCACACAACCATGGTCGGCAGGATGGGCAGGACCGAACGGAACAGATCGATAGATGCCCCGACACATGGCACGAAAAAGGGGCACAGCCCATGAAGGTAGCGAGTACCCCCATCAATCTCAGGGGTTTGCCACACAGTATACTATCCATCACGCGAAGGGAACCGACCACTCATTCTCCATGCACATGCCAGGGCCAGGAACGTTTCCATGATAGCAGAGGTGAAATGGAAGGCACGACAAAGTCGACAGCAATAAGTATGGGTACGTAATCTACCAGCTTCCCTTTGCCAGGAGCAAGTTGGAGGCGTCGGCCCAGTCGCGTCATAGACATGCACCGAGAAACACGCGAACGGCGGCCCACAGGAATGGCAGTGTGGTCAATGTAGCTGGAGTGCTCACCGTTGTAGTACGTGGGCGCCGTCGAACAGAGTGTGTCAGGTCAATGCAAAATGTGACGGTCGAGCAGCTCACGAAAGGCACGTCCAACATAGCCCATGCGAGGTCGGGTGTAGTCACCAATGGCATGGCCCAGGTAGCCCTCCTCAGAGGCAAAATAATCATTTGAGTCAGTGTATATGAGTGGTGTGGACCGACAAGGTAAAGCCGACAGCTCAGAGTCCAACCACTGCAATAGTACATCGATAGTCTTCTTCCAGGAGACAGCAGCACGGCCCACAGCCATCGGAGGAAAATAAAGCGCAATCGCAATGATGGTGATGTCAGAATTCTTCGTAATGATGCGGACCAGGCCTCCGCGTCCGAGGGCAACATCAGGTGGGACAGAAGTGCGATACATCTTCTCTGAACATGCCAACCCTTATGTCTACCACTAGACACTCCAGCGCAGCGATTCGTGAAAGGACCGCGTCCATATCAAAAATGCACAAACTGATGTATGCCTTGATTCTGCGACCAGACAGCTGCACCAGGAGTGGCCCTCAGACGCGTGCCAGTCATAGCGATGAACGCCGCACTCTTCATGGCCTCGCTGATCTCCACGAGGCGCCTCGTTCGTACAAGGCTGCACGATTTGTATCCAATCATTTGAAGTCGCATGGCGTAGTCACGAACGTCAGCAGCACCACCACACTCTGGCGGTGCACGGCCCCCGCCCGCCCATCAGAAGCTTTTGAGATGTAGAGAGTGTGAGTGAGTGTTGGGGGGCCCCACTTACTGTCTGACGCATCTGCAATGGGCTGGAGGAGGAGGAGGAGGAAAGGGAGGAGGAGGAGAATACCGTATCCAGCGCTGCGACCTCCACGTGCACCGCAAATGGATCCGGCCAAGTGTGCTTTCAGCTGCCTGGTACTGCTGCCCCAGGCAGTTCAGGGAGGGTCCTGCTGGACAGCCAGTGGGGACCCCTGGCTGCAGACCGCCTGCACGGGGTCGGAGCACACGGGGTCACAGGACCGTGCTGCATCGCCGACGTAGCGTTAAGTCGGGCACGCCCCTTTACAGGAATAATATTCAAAACTGGTAAAACATAGTATGGGGCAGACGTGTTTGGTATTTTGGACTTTTTTGGGGGAATCTGTTTTCGTCCAAAAATGCGCCTGTAAGAGGACACGCCCGACCGAATCGTAGCGCGATCCAGAGCCCGATTCCCTTCGATCCCGACGTCGCCGAGGCATATCGGCGATGCGGTGCTGCGGTGTGATCCCCCGACCACGCCTGCTCCAGCCCCACTCGGGCGGCCTCCGCAGGCCCTCGGCAGGCGCGGCTGGTGGGTTGGTCGACCCTGCAGAATCGAAGGGCACACTGCGGGGCGGCGCGAGGGGGGCTTCGGATGCAACTCCTGGGAGGTCAAATTCTGATTTAGCCCTGGTCCGAAATCCAACTTAATCCGGCTTAATCCCGCTTAATCCGGCTTGATCCCGCTTGATCTGGCTTAATCCCGCTGTAATCCGAGGCCCACTCTGGCGTAACAGCCCCGCAGTGGGGCTTAATCCTTTTGAATCTTTCCGACGAAGACCCCCCAGCAGTTGTTTCCTAAGGGGGCGGCCTCCTGAGGAGCCAGGAGGGCTTCGACGAAGACAGCGGACTTCTGAGAACGCCCCTCCTGGCTTCCGAGACGCCCTCTCGGACCCCTCGCCACGCCTCCCAGGAAGACGGTCCCTGCTTTCTTTCTCAGAGACCCTCAGGCTTCTTGTACAGTCAACCATGATAGTAAGGATGGGGCAACTTTCCAAGGCTACCCTTGCATCTTTGCCCCTTCGGTATTCGGCATCCTTCGGCATCCTGCTGCGCTCCGCACGGAAAACGTCAACATGGCGTTCCAAGGTCCTTTTCATGCACGCTTACCGCGCATCCTTACTGTGCTGGTCGAGTGTACGGGGCGGCGCGAGGGGGTCGGCCTTCTGAGGAGCCAGGGGGGCTTCGACGAAGGCCGCGGACTTCCTAGAACGCCCTCCTGGCTTCCGAGACGCCCTCTCGGACCCCTCGCCACGCCTCCCAGGAAGACGGTCCCTGCCTTCTTGTTGCCAAGAGACCCTCGGGCCTCTTGGAAGGCCGCCCCCCCCTTCCCGCGCCGCCCCCTTGTGCGCGCTGCCGACCCAGGCATGCCATGTCTTGCTTGTTTTGATACGGTAGGTTCGCGTCGTGTCGACCGGCGGCGACCCCGCCAGCGGCGTTCAACTTTGAACGCCGCGGGCGACCCAGAATCGTTCGATGTTGAACATTTGGACGTTGCGGAGACGGCCGATCGTTCAAGGTTGAACGATCCCCGCGGTGTCAGAAACCAACGCCGGGGTCGGCACGACACGAACCTGCCGTAGGCGGACCCCGCATGTCTCGACCCCTTCCCCAGGACCCGCGCTTCCTCCGGAGTCGATGTCTGACAGCCCCAGGGCACAGCGCGGGCCCCCGGGGGTCAGTTTTCCTGGCGGAAGACTCAAGCATACGGTAGGTTTGCGTCGTGTCGACCAGCGGCGACCCCAGCGCGGGCGTTCAAGGTTGAACGCCGCCGGCGGCCCAGAATCGATCGACGTTGAACGATCGGACGTTGCGGCAGCGGCCGATCGTTCAAGGTTGAACGATCCCTGCGGTGTCAAAAACCAACGCCGGGGTCGACACGACACGAACCTGCCGTATGCAGCTGTGAGTGAGGCATTTCTGATCGTCGTCCTCTCTGGCGCTCTCGATGGGGCCACAGGACGTGTGAGGGGTGTGCCGAAACGGGTCGGACGGATGCAATCTGGACCCTACCACTGGGGCCTTTGGTGGAGCTTCCCATGCGACCGCAAAACGCATGAGAGGTCTGCCGACATGTGTTGTGCGGACGCATGTGGGCTCTCCCATAGGGGCCTCCAGGGGAACTCCCTAGGGGGCCACTAAAAGACTGAGGGGTGTGACGACATTGCTCTGGCGGGCGCTTGAGACTGATATCTTGCTTCTTTTTTCCGCGGTGGCAAGGACAGACGCCTCCTTGGCTGTCGCGCTAGCACTGCAGCCGATGTGTCGTAGAGACACGGCGTTTCAGTTCAGTTCGGGCGCATATGGACCCTGCCACTGGAGCCTTCGAGGAACCCCCCATGGGGCCACGAAACGTGTGAGGGCTGTGCCGAACTTGGTTTGGCGGACGCGTGTGAACCCTCCCAGTGGGGCCTTCGGTGGGGCTCCCTATGGGGCCGCGGAACCTGTGAAGGGTGTACCGACATGGGTCGTGCGGGCGCATGTGGACCCTCCCACGGAGGCTTTCGATGGAACTCCCTATAAGGGCGCTAAACGTGTGCGGGGTATGCCTAAGTATGCGGCGGGGACGCCTGCGGGCGGCGCCACTGGGGACTTCTGTGGAGCTCCCTCTGGGGCCGCGAAACGTGTGAGGGGTATGCCAACATGAATTCCTGCGGCGCATGCGGGCGGCGCCAGTGGGGCCGTCGGTGGAGCTCCCTATGAGGCCACGAAGCGTGCGAGATGTGTGTGCCAAACTGAGCGGCTGGGACGCATGCGGGCGGCGCCATTGAAGCCGTCGGTGGAGCCCCCTTATGGGGCCACACAGCATGCGGTGTGTGTGTGTGTGTGCCGAAATGGGCGGCTGGGACGCAGGAGGCGCCACTGGGACCTTCGGTGGAGCTCCCTATGTGGCCACGAAACAGCGGATGGGACGCATGTTGGCGGCGCCACTGGGGCTTTCGGTGGAGCTCCCTGGGCCACGAAGCGTGTGAGACGTGTGCCGACATGAGCGGCTGGGACGCATGTGGGCGGCGCCACGAGGGACTTCGGTGGGGCTCCCTCAGGGGCTGCGAAACATGTGAGGAGTGCGCCGAATTGAGCGGCTGGAATGCATGCGGGCGCTGCCACTTTGGCCGTCGGTGGAGGTTTGTGGGGCCACGATCCTCCTGAGGGGTGTGGGTGGACATGCGGAGAGCAGAGGCAGGGATGGGAAGATGGAGGAGGAGGAAGGAGGAGAGGAGAGCAGAGCAGAGCAGAGGAGAGGAGAGGATAGGAGACGCGGGGCGCTGTCTCTTCAAAACGAGGACCCACCCTCCTCGTGTTTTTTTTCACGACGAGGGTGGGTCTGAGCCTCGCGCCACTCTCGGCAGAGCCCCCGCCGTCGCGTTGGCCTGCCGGGCTGAGGCTGCCAGGGCCGCCGCCGCCGCTTCCCCTGGCGCTGGAGCCCTGGGAGGATCCGCAGCAATCGAATCGCCATGCAGGAAGGGGAGGTCAGAGCCCCGAATCATCAGGGGTAACTCGGGTCAGGGCTAACTCGGGTTCGTTTTCGGGATTCCGAACCCGAGTTATCTCGGGCCCGAGTTACCCCGGATATTTCGGGCGTCCAGAGCCCCGAATCATCAGGGGTAACTCGGGTCAGGGCTAATTCGGGTCCGTTTTTCGGGAATCCAAGCCCGCGTTACCCCTCACCCGAGTTACCCCGGCTAACTCGGGTTCCCAAGGAGGAGGAGGAGGAGGAGGAGGAGGAGGAGGAGGAGGAGGAGGAGAAGGAGCAGGAGGAGGAGGAGGATGAGGAGGAGAAGGAGGAGGCGGAGAAGGAGGAGGATGAGCAGGAGGATAAGGAGGAGGGGGGAGGAGGAGGAGAAGGAGGAGGAGGAGGAGGAGGAGGAGGAGGAGGAGGAGGAGGAGGAGGGGGAGGGGGAGGAGGAGGAGGAGGAGGAGGAGGAGGAGGGGGGGGGGAGGAGAAGGAGGAGGAGGAG